GGCAGGGGGTGGCTAGTAAAGAATAATTTGTTGTGGCAATCTGATGCAGGGTAGACAGAAGACATGTGTCCCAATATTCTTCCATAATCCCTAAACACAGCATGCTGTCCCGGCTGTTTGGAACTGAAGATCACAACCATTTGGGACAATACTAGTTTGTTTGTTTTTTTTACTGTAGAGTAAAGGCTAGCTAGGCATTACTATTTGTATAAGCTGGATCTACACTGCCTTATATCCCAAGATCTGATTCCAGATCATCTGGCATTGTAGACTCATATAATTCAGTTCAAATCAGATAATCTGGGATCAGATCCTGGGATATAGGGCAGTGTAGATGCAGCCTTAGAGTAGCAACCAAATGTTGGACTGGAGAATGACGTTATTAGTTGAGAGTATACACCAACTTACCAATGAAAGAGGGTTGGAAGAGAGTTTCTGGGCAACGGAAACGCTCATTCCCTATTGTGATCACTTGACCATCGGGCAGCTCATAGCTTTTTTCTAGAGATGACGAAGAGGCAGCTGTGGCCATTTCATTTTCAAAGTCCAGGGCAACATAGCAGAGCTTCTCCTTGATATCACGAACAATTTCACGCTCCGCTGTGGATGGGATGAAGAAGAAAGATCAGTTCACAATCTTCATGATCACAAGAAGCCAAGAAGGAAAAATATGGGATTCTTTCTTGGCATACTTGTTTGTAATTCAACATAATAGCCTATATTATTTAAATGAACAGTTTGAAGACATTAAATATTTACCATCAGTAAAGGGGATTTTTAAAAGACAGCAATGTTCAGATGTATTAAAAATGCTATTTCAGAAAATTTACATGGGGTTTGGAGGAGAACCTGGGAGGTCGCTTTCTCCATTTCTGGTCATAGTGTATATTTTGCTACAACTAGCTTAAATATGGAACCAAATTTTGAATTTCAGTTTGAATATTTCAAAAGCATAAGATCTTCTCATTCCATTTTACATGTTCAGAATTTTAAAAGGAACATTACATTTTTGCATTTCTTTATCAGATAAACTACAATTCATTTTTGAATGGCACAATTATTTGGTTCTTCATGCTGGGGTCAGAATCTACAAATAGAATGTCATTGCATATTGTGTAATGGAATCCCAAGTATAACGCATAAATCCAGAAATTCATTTATTTTAGTCTCCAATACTGGGCAGCAGAGAATTGCTGGAATTCTTTGAAGTCCTCCTTCAAGAAAAAAAAATCAGAAACCACTTGGTTTGATGTAGTTCATACAGCATACACCAGCCATAATAATAACAACTTTATTTTTGTACCTCGCCTTCATCTCCCTGAAGGGACTCAGGGCGGCTTACATGGGGTCAAGCCTGAACCACACTAAAATATAACACACTAAAATACATAATGACAGTATAAAACATAATGAAAACCAACAACATCATGTTTACAAACAAAGTTCTTTGGCAAATATTATAGGAGAAAAATAATAGGGGAGGTATTTAATTCCCTTACCAGTAGTAACAAATGAATAACCACGTTCTGTCAGAATTTTCATGAGGTAGTCAGTAAGGTCACGGCCAGCCAGGTCCAAGCGCATGATGGCATGAGGCAGGGCATAGCCCTCATAGATTGGCACATTGTGGGTGACACCATCCCCAGAGTCAAGCACAATACCTTAAGAAAACACAAAACAGGCGGCATTTGATTAAAAGTCAACTAACCCCACTTCGTTTTCAGAAGTCCCAAAGCCAACGTAACTTTATTACCTGTTGTACGTCCAGATGCATAAAGGGACAGAACAGCTTGAATAGCAACATACATGGCTGGGACATTGAAAGTCTCAAACATAATCTGGAAGGTAATTCGAAAATGAAAAAACAAGATAAGTATTGGATAAATAAATATATCTTACTGATTACTCCATCTGGCAATACAACAACAACAACAACAACAACAACAACAACAACAACAAAGAACTGGTGGGATCACAAGCCTGAAAAAGTTACAGAAAATGAACACGTCAAACTAGGGACTTCCGAATTCAGACAGGGAGAGTTTTGGAGCACAATACTCCTGACCTCACAATCAGGTTAAAAAAATGGATAATTGATGTTGCAATCCCAGGTGATAGCTGGATTGAAGAGAAACAATTGGAAAATCTGACACAATACAAGGATTTAAAGACTGAACTGCAAAGACTGGCACAAGCCAGTAAAGGTGGTCCCAGTGGTGATCGGCACACTGGGTGCAGTGCCTAAACACCTTGGTCTGCACTTAAATACAATCGGCTCCCTACAAGGGACTGCCGCCAGGAGCAAACCAAGAATGAGCAACTTGGAAGTCCCTGAACAGACTCAGAAGTGGTGTTGGCAGATCAAAACAACCTGGCTAAATGGCACTACCTAGAAGAATCCTCCACCTTGTGTGACTGTGGAGCAGAACAAACAACTCCACATCTGTATGCTTACTCACAATGCCCTGCCTCATGCACAGAGGAAGAACTCCTTAAAGCTACAGACAATGCAGTCACTGTTGCCCATTTTTGGTCTAAAATTATTTAGCTGCTTGTGTTCCCTCTATTTTATCTGTTTTATACTTGTTTATTTATGCAATGCTTTTGACACTGAATAAAAAATAACTTCGAGAAACATGCCCGTTAATTACACTTTGGTCCTCCAAGTGTTTTGGACTTCAACTCCCAGAAATCCCAGCCAGTTTAACAGCTGTTAGGAATTGTAGAAGCTGAAATCCAAAACACCTGGATGATCAAAGGTTGGGAACCACTGATGTACAGGTAAATATATAATATACTGACAGCATGAAATAAGCTTTACATTTGAGTTTACGTTTTGGCAATGTTACATGGTTACATGGCTTACAGTCAAAGAAATAAAGTAGCAGCATATTATGAGACCAGAATAAGATTAAGATGGGTAGAACCAATGTTTGAAGGCTTTAACAACAGAAACTTGGTTATTTACAGAGTTGGGCTTTTGTGTCTCTCCCAAGTCTATACAAAGCAAGCATAGGAGAAATTGTATCATCTGAACAAACTCCAGAAATTGCACATTTAAAAAATGATGGGGTGCTAACCCAGCTCTAAGATCAGATAATTTCAAAATCCCCAAATGTATTCTTAATTCACACGTAACTGTGTTAACGCAGCTAGCTTATTTCATGAGATTTTAAAAACTTTCTTCAACCTACTTTACACAGTTACAAAACAACAGGGAGACAGTAATACTGTTGGAATCACTGGGCATCGTGTTTCACACCAAAGAGAACATTGATAGGAATCACAATGTCTGCAAACACAGTGGCTGAAACCAGGCAAACCAGATCAAAAACTGAAGCACTGGAGATGCAATTTTACCTGTGTCATTTTCTCTCTGTTGGCTTTGGGATTCAAAGGTGCCTCTGTGAGCAAAGTTGGATGCTCTTCAGGGGCAACGCGTAGCTCATTGTAGAAAGAATGGTGCCAAATCTGCAGTAAAGAGCAAACAGAAATATCTGCAATATGTATAGGGGGGGTTGTGTGTGTGTGTCAGGAGTGACTTGAGAAACTGCAAGTCACTTCTAGTGTGAGAGAATTGGCAGTCTGCAAGGACGTTGCCCAGGGGACGACCCGGATGTTTTGATGTTTGACCATCCTTGCGGGAGGCTTCTCTCATGTCACCGCACGGGGAGCTCAACCTGCTCTCTTGTCAGTCAGCGGTCCTTTCGGAACAAGGTTTTAACCTATTGCACCATTGGGGGCTCCATATGTATAGGTGAACAAAATATGTTTTAGATAACAAAGTAGTATAGGATGGGATGGTGATTTAACATCCTTATTTAGAAAACTATTTGTCTGGAATAGCCCTAATTTTTAAAATACAGAAACATTGGCCCCTTTGACTCTGCCCTATATCCCAGGGCATTTTAATATATCCCATTAACTGCTAGATAATGTGGGATAAGAAGATAATCTGGGACCAGATCCTGGGATATTGTGTCCAATTATGGGCACCACAATTGAAGAGAGATATTGACAAGCTGGAATGTGTCCAGAGGAGGTGACTAAAATGATCAAGGTCTGGAGAACAAGCCCTATGAAGAGCGGCTTAAAGAGCTGGGCATGTTTAGCCTGAAGAAGAGAAGGCTGAGAGGAGACATGATAGCCATGTATAAATATGTGAGAGGAAGTCACAGGGAGGAGGGAGCAAGCTTGTTTTCTGCTGCCCTGGAGACTAGGACACGGAACAATGGCTTCAAACTACAAGAAAGGAGATTCCATCTGAACATAGGAAGAACTTCCTGACTGTGAGAGCTGTTCAGCAGTGGAACTCTCTGCCCCGGAGTGTGGTGGAGGCTCCTTCTTTGGAGGCTTTTAAGCAGAGGCTGGATGGCCATCTGTCAGGGTGCTTTGAATGCAATTTTCCTGCTTCTTGGCAGAGGGTTGGACTGGGTGGCCCATGAGGTCACTTCCAACTCTAGGATTCTATGATTCTATTGACTCGAGTTAGAAATTTTTTTTTAACCCTGGACAAATTAGTCGCACTTAGCAAGCATGACTGTCTCTTGGGTTGTTTTTCTTCTCTGTGCCCCTTTACACAGCCATATAACCCAGAATATCAAGACAGAAAATCCCACATTATCTGCTTTGGACTGGGTTATCTGAGTTTAAGCTGCCATATATTTCACTTCAAAGCAGATAATGTGGGATTTTATTCAGCTATGTGGAAGGGACCTCTGTCTTGTGGCTGTTTCATACAAGAAGAGACAATGCAGATGTTACTAGGGGTGTAACTACACTTAATGCAATTTGATACTACTTTAACTGCAAGGGCTCAATCCTGTGGAATGATGGGGTTTATAATCTGGTGAGTCATTAGCACTATTTGGCAGAGAAGGCTATAGACTTTGATTCCACAGCACTGAGCCATGGTACTAGTTAAAGTGGTGTCAAACAGCATTAATTCTACAGTATAGATCCAGCTTGTGCGAGGATTTGAAACAGTTCTTAAGTTAGGCATGGGATATATGTGTCCCCCTAGATGCCAGTGGAATGCAACTCACATCAGCCATCGCCAACCTAACCGATTGTATGCTCAGACATGGAAATGGAACAAAGCATTGACAGCAGAAGAATGGATGGTTAAGATTACTGAATTAGTTCAAATTGCCAAATATGAAATGATAAACCAATTGAAGAGTTTTGGATAGATTGAGAGCAATTTATGGACTCAAAGTCAAAGTACGTATGTTTGCTTGTCTATCTCTATATATCACGTTTCCCTGGTTGACAACAACAGATTCTGGGATTGTAGTACTGTGAAGTAATAAGGATGACCAATTTACAACCCCCCCCCCTCTCTCACACACACACACACACCCATCACCATCACCATCATCATCAACAACAACCTTTTAAGTTGCAGAACTACAATAGTACCAAATATTGCACTTTGAGTCTCCATAATAAAGAAATTATTCCAACAGTAAAATATTTGAACTGTATCAAGAAATTATAACAATATCTTAACTACAATGCAGAAAGCTGATATAAAATGCCAGCCCTGTTTGTTTTATGCGACATCTTCCCTATTTGTGAGTTAAATACCTTCTCCATGTCATCCCAATTTGTGATGATTCCATGTTCGATGGGGTATTTCAATGTCAGGATCCCTCTCTTGCTTTGAGCTTCATCGCCTACGTAGCTGTCTTTCTGGCCCATGCCTACCATCACACCCTAATAAGTTAAGAGAAAAAGACAACTGCCTCAGGCTCATAAGGAAGCAATGCCAATATGTAAATAAGGTGGCACATTATTTCAGCATCATTATAAGTATTAAAAAAAACCAGTAGAAATCTTCCTCCTGAAGCATAACAAGCAAATAGAAAATTCGCCTGATATTAATATATGAAACTCCGTTGCCCCAAGTGAGATCTTTCATCCATTTAAACTAGCATTTTTCCCTTTAGAACAGTGGTTCTCAACTTGTGGGTCCCCAGATGTTTTGGTCTTCAATTCCCAGAAATCCTAACAGCTGGTAAACTGGCTGGGATTTCTGGGAGTTGTAGGCAAAAACACCTGGGGACCCACAGGTTGAGAACCACTGCTCTAGAGTCTTGTGTCCCTATGTAGTAGGGTTGTGCATTCGGGGTAAGCCTTGGTGTTTTGTGTCCCTGCTTTTAGTGGGAGTCCCAATCCATTTTTTGGGAGCCTCCAGAAATCAGGAGGGCAGATATCTATTTTCACTCTGGGGTGTTTTCGCTCTGGGTTGCCAAAAGATCTATTTTCTGTTGAACCATTATGGGGGGGGGGGCTCCCTCCCCTTCCTGGCACGCACTTTAAGGAAGCTTCTTCTTACCTGCTGTTTTTACTCTAGATGACCTGGTCAGCTGCTGACAGTGGTCAGCGTGCGCTTTCTGGGCCTGCACTCCACACAAGCACTCTCTTTCCAAGTGCCTGCACCCAACCGCCTCCTCCAGAGTAAGGTATTCTTACTCTAGAGGAGGCATTCAACTGCAGACGGCACTGGCAGGCACCTGCACTTTCTCTCAATTTCAAGGCATTTTAAGGAGGCTTCCCACTTCCAGGTAGGGAAGAGCAATGACTTCCTGGAGAATAGTTTTCAGGGAATGAGAGTTTACTTTTTTGTTTAAACTGTGATGCCAAAAAGCAAGCTTACAGCTGGGATTGGCTCTCGCTTGCTTTCGTGGCGAGCTGATTTTTGTACCAGGAGCGGGGTTCCCATTACATGCTCCCAAAGTACCGAAAGGAACGAAAGAAATGAAGAAAATGGGAGAAACGGATTCCATGCACAACTATACTATGTAGCTGGAAAGGTCCAGAATTTGTTCCTTGGATATTCAGCATGCAAACAATATGTTTTGCCATTGAAATATACCTCACTACCTCTGAGGATGCTTGCCATAGATGCAGGCAAAACGTCAGGAGAGAATGCCTCTAGACCATGGTCATATAGCCCGAAAAAACCTGCAACAACCCAGTGATCCCGGCCATGAAAGCCTTCAACAATACATTGAAATATAGTATCTTCCTATTTCCTTTGAAAGTGGAGAATTCTTCTTTATTTTACGCAAAAGCCAACTTGCAATCAGTCAAAAACAACTACTGGGCGGATGTAATGTTAACAGAGAGCCATCTACTGGCAGATGTTGAACAGTATATCATCCAAGTTCACTATTTCAGAGCACATAAACTGAATGAACAATTACCCCATTTATTGCTTACTTGAAGAAACAAATACATCATGATATTATAAATTAAGTTCCAAACAAATACATTATGACATTATGACCAGAATCCATGGTTTCATTTATGTATTTCCAACAAAAATGGTCTCAAGGCATTAGGTCTTCCTGCAATACCCTATGGTATTCTTGGGTTGGAAATCTTTCATTTCAATAGGGTTCACTATTATCTATGGTCTTACATTTCCACACACAGCCCAGGAACTTATACTCTGTGAATATGGGAGTTGTACTATATGTTTAGAACTGCAGAGTTATATATTAAAAAACCTATAACTTCGCAAACAATAAAAATATTTTTAGGAAGCACATACAGTAGATTGTTGTAGGTTTTTTCGGGCTATATGGCCATGGTCTAGAGGCATTCTCTCCTGACGTTTCGCCTGCATCTATGGCAAGCATCCTCAGAGGTAGAGGTGACCTCACTACCTCTGAGGATGCTTGCCATAGATGCAGGTGAAATGTCAGGAAAGAATGCCTCTAGACCATGGCCATATAGCCCGAAAAAACCTACAACAACCCAGTGATTCCGGCCATGAAAGCCTTCGACAATACAGACAGTAGAGTCTTGTTTATCCAACCTTTGCTCATTCAATGTTCTGTATTATCCTGCATGGATCCACACCTTTTTCAATACATTGCAATGTTTTGGTGCTAAATTCATAAGTACAGTAATTACATAACATTACCTTGTATTCAGCTACTTTTTCTGTCATTTGTTGTAAAACATGATGTTTTGGTGCTTAACTTGTAAAATCATAACGTAATTTGACATTTAATAGGCTTTTCCTTAATCCCTCCTTATTAGCCAACATTTTTGCCTATCCAACATTCTTCTGTCTCATTTATGTTGGATAAGCGAGACTGTACTGTATTACTTCCTTCTAAGACTTTTGTGACTGAAGTCACAGCTCCTTTGATATGATTTATGACCAAAAATCTCTTCCAAGAGCTTCCTGTTTAGTAGTCTTAGCAGTTTCAAGGTCTTCTTAGGCTTTTAAGGACTATAAAGTACATGTCAAATCTGACATTATATTTCTTTCCTGGACTTCAAAGACTCATCTCTGTAATAATTTACACTTTCATCAGGATTTAAGGTGTTCCAAAATATTTATAAGTAATTATCACTTGACTATAAATGACAGCTGTTTCATTTAGCTCGTTCATTAAAGCCTCTCTTGCTGCCCCCAGTGAAATATATACATCAAGGTACCTGATTAGTCTGAATAAAGTCTCTTATCTTTTTTAAAATTCTCTAGCTAAAGAAAAAGGGCTTCCCAGTCTCCTATGGAAGATAGCTAACTTCTTGGATAGTTGCACAAGACTTCATTGGAAATGAACAAAAATGCCATATACTGCATGATGATGCCAAATCATCTGGATTCATCCAAAAGAAATGCTAAATGCTGTGTGACTCACCCTTTCGAATTCCCTCTGCATAATTCACTCTGAAGGATCTTTCAATTACTTACAAAGATAATATTTCAGAAAGTGGACTAAGCATTTACCTGGTGCCTGGGGCGTCCCACGATGGAAGGAAAAACTGCTCTTGGCGCATCATCCCCAGCAAAGCCTGCCTTGCAAAGCCCGGAGCCATTATCACAAACCAGCGCGGTGCTATCCTCTTCCTCACACATCTTCTATGATGACTTTCTCAGACCTTTCACACAGGTAACAGTCCTATCAAGAGAGCAAAAGTGACCCAATACAATAAAACAGAAGGTGTTCATTTTCAGGAAATGAAAGGCAGTTAGGGGTTCTTGAATCCCTTGCATTACTGAAATTTTGCTGTCGAAGGAGCACCAAATGGCATATCTGCCCCCAAATCCACAGTACCTATGGTGAAAAATAACATTTTAGAACAAGGAACCTCACAAGTAATAATAAGAATAAGAAAAATGTTTGGATTATTGATGTCGCCATACCGGGTGACATTCGCATTGAGGAAAAACAAGAAAAACTCAGCCGTTATCAAGACCTCAAAATTGAACTGCAAAGGCTCTGGCATAAACCAGTACAGGTGGTCCCAGTGGTCATTGGCACACTGGGTGCCGTGCCAAAAGATCTCAGCCGGCATTTGGAAACAATAAACATTGACAAAATCACGATCTGTCAACTGCAAAAGGCCACCTTACTTGGATCTGCGCGCATCATTCAAAAATACATCACACAGTCCTAGATGCTTGGGAAGTGTTCGACTTGTGATTTTGTGATACGAAATCCAGCATATAGATCTCCTTTGCTGTGACACACTGTGTTTTGTGTCAGAATAATAATAATAATAATAATAATAATAATAATAATAATAATAATATGTGCAATCCGCTCTATCTCCCCAAGGGGACACAGGCGGATTCCAGCATATATACTGACACAGGCAAACATTCAATGCCTTGAAACAATGAAACACAAATAGACAAAGGCAAAGGCTTCCTCTTTCATCTTCGGCTCTGGGGAGTGATGTTCATTTCCATTTCCAAGCCAAGGAGCCTGTGTTGTCCGAAGACACCTCCTGGTCGTGTGGCTGGCATGATTGCATGGAATGTTGTTTGCCTTTTTGGTAAAGTGGTACCTATTGATCTACTCACATTTGCATTTTTTCGAACTGCTAGGTTGGCAGGAGTTGAGGCAAACACTCCATCTCGTGAATTCGAACTGCAACCTTCATGTCAGTGAGTTCAGCAGCTCAGCGGTTTAACCCATTGTGCCACCACATTAAATGAGGAACCATTTCCTGCCTTCTCATCATATCCAAAAATAGATGCCTGAGATCCACACTCATTCTGCCACATGGGAGGGCTGACTGTTTGCTATGCATATTATGTGGCAGTGGCATGTAGCATAATTTGTTCACCACCTCAAAAATTCCATAATGGTTTGGTATTTTATCCTACCCTCCACAATAAGCATAGTGTTGTTATCTATCTTATTTGGAATATGGTGTGAAAGCTTTTGACCAGCTTTCAGGGAAGTTGGTCAAAAAGTTACGGATCTCATGTAGAGAATGTAAACCTCTTCCCCTCTCACTCCACACTGTGGTTGGTGGTTAAACCACTGGCATAAAATGTGGTTCCAGGCTAGAGTTGAAGTAGTTGAAGCCATTGTTCTGAGTCCTAGTCTCCAGGGCAGCAGAAAACAATCTTGCTCCCTCCTCCCTATGACTTCCTCTCACATATTTATACATGGCTATAATGTCTCCTCTAAGCCTTCTCTTATTCAGGCTAAACGTACCCAGCTCTTTAAGCCACTCCTCACAGGGCTTGTTCTCCAGGCCCTTGATCATTTGAGTTGCCCTCCTCTGGACACATTCCAGCTTGTCAATATCTCTCTTCAATTGTGGTGCCCAGAATTGGACACAATATTCCAGGTGTGGTCTAACCAAGGCAGAAGAGGGGGATCTTGGATCTACACACTATACTCCTATTGATGCAGGCCAAAATCCCATTTGCCGCCACATCACATTGTTGGCTCATGTTGAACTTGTAGTCCACAAGGACTCCAAGATCTTTTTCACACAAACTGCTCTTGAGCCATGTACTGCTCTTAAGCTATATAAATAAAGTATATATATTATTATTGCTGTAGTTCAATACCATTTGGAGAGGCATGTTTCCCATTGCTGGCTCAGTACATTTTCCTATGTTGCTGCCCTTAAAATGGCATCTATGGGATCTCTCTTCCTGTCCTAGTCTATCAGTGACTCCATTGGATTTTATCAATATATACCTTGGGATACAGAAATCTGATGCAAGGGACAATGCTTAACTATTGACTTCATTTTGAAATATTTCCCCAGGCAAAAAAATAATTTAAATATAATTTTGGTTTTTTTTTTAAAAAAAAAAAAGAAATAAAAAGAGAGGCAATGCCTGGCTCGAGAGCAGTACGTGTGAAAAAGACCTTGGAGTCCTCGTGGACAACAAGTTTAACAATGTCCAACAATGCGATGTGGCAGCAAAAAAAGCCAATGGGATTTTGACCTGCATCAATAGGAGCATAGTGTCTAGATCTAGGGAAGTAATGCTACCCCTCTATTCCGCTTTGGTTAGACCACACCTGGAATATTGTGTCCAATTCTGGGCACCACAATTCAAGAGAGATATTGACAAGCTGGAATGTGTCCAGAGGAGGGTGATTAAAATGATCAAGGGTCTGGAGAACAAGCCCTATGAGGAGCGGCTTAAGGAGCTGGGCATGTTTAGCCTGAAGAAGAGAAGGCTGAGAGGAGATATGATAGCCATGTATAAATATGTGAGAGGAAGCCACAGGGAGGAGGGAGCAAGCTTGTTTTCTGCTTCCCTGGAGACTAGGATGTGAAACAATGGCTTCAAACTACAAGAAAGGAGATTCCATCTGAACATGAGGAAGAACTTCCTGACTGTGAGAGCCGTTCAGCAGTGGAACTCTCTGCCCCGGAGTGTGGTGGAGGCTCCTTCTTTGGAAGCTTTTAAACAGAGGCTGGATGGCCATCTGTCAGGGGTGATTTGAATGCAATATTCCTGCTTCTAGGCAGGGGGTTGGACTGGATGGCCCATGAGGTCTCTTCCAACTCTTTGATTCTATGATTCTATGATTTCACATATATATCTATTTTGTTACATTTTAACATTGCTCTTTTAGGTGAACCCCTCAAAACATGTTATCTGGACATCATCATTGCGTACTTTGGGGACTTCTGTCTTTCACTGACTGTTTCTCGGCTCAATCTGGATGAGAATTAAGCATAGTTCATCTGAACTTCTGGGAAAAAGTTGGAAATTTTATTTTAATTGTTAAAAATGAATTGCACTGAGGAAGGGCAAAGTAAATAAGAGAAATGCTTGAAAGGATATCTTTAATAGTGGCAGAGGATGGTTATATTTCAGCATTTATTCGACAGCACAGAAACATTACCTAACGTGAGTCTCTCTAGCCCGTTTGGAACAAACCATTTCCTAATTAGGAAGCAAAGTCTTTCAAAAGTCTGTTTTTGGAACTGAGCTGGAACGGTCAAGTTTTTTTCTCCCTCAAACTCAAGTCAACGGAGCCAAAAAAGAATCCTTCGAGGAAGGAGGAGGGAAGGCTGCATTTCTGCCTGTGCATATGGTGAGTTCTAAATGAAAGCCATATTTAGTAAGCAGCCAATGTGAGAAATTCAAGAAAATCAGACCTTTAAGTCAAGTCCTCTAATGGCATTAAAGCAGTGATTTAGAATCCTGAGCTGCTCCAGACTGCTGAAATAATGATCTTGCAGTAGCTCATTTAACTCCAAGCTTGGCAATAAACCTGGCATGTGTATTTCTCCAAAGATGATTAAGGTATGCCATTAGCTGTTAATCATTTTGCTCCTAGACATGACTAAAAATGCTCCCAGTGCAGCAATATTGCACAGGATGTTAAGAGCAAAAGCAAATCTCATTCAAAATATGTGGCTTGCAATCCAGAGCTTGGAAATTTTACTGTTTTAGATTAGTAACCTCAGAACCTTGTGAGTCTAGGGTCTGTACTAAATCTCTCAGGGCCCTTCCACACAGCCCTATATCCCAGAATATCAAGGCAGAAAATCCCACATAATAATAATAATAATAATAATAATAATAATAATAATAATAATAATAATAATAATCTATATATAAATAAAAATGTAATGTTCATTTGTGGGATTAACATAGCTCAAAAACCACTGGACAAATTGCTGCCAAATTTGGTCACAAGACACCTACTAACCCAAGGAGTGACCATCACTCAAAAAAATTGATATTGTCATTTGGGAGTTGTAGTTGCTGGGATTTATAGTTCACCTACAACCAAAGAGCATTCTGAACTCCACCAATGATGGAATTGAACCAAATGTGGCACACAGGACTCCCATGACCAACAGAAAATACTGGAAGGGTTTGGGGGATGTTGATCTTGAGTTTGGGAGTTGTAGTTCACCTACACCCAGAGAGCACTGTGGACTCAAACGATGAAGGATCTGGACCAAACTTGGCACAAATATTCCATATGGCCAAATATGAACTCAGATGGATTTTGGGGAAAATAGACCTTGATATTTGGAAGTTGTAGTTACTGGGATTTATAGTTCACCTACAATCAAAGGGCATTCTGAACCCCACCAACAGCAGATTTGGAGCAAACTTCCCACACAGAACCCCCATGACCAACAGAAAATACTTAAGGCCATCCAGTCCAAACTCCCTTCACCAGGGCAAGAAAATGTAATCAAAGCCTTCCTGACAAAGAGCCATCCAGCCATACATACAGATATATATGATTCACACAGAGAGAGAGATATATAGTATCATAGATTTGAAAGTGACCCCTAAAGAAGGACAATCATATGTTGCATGTTCCAGAATAGGCAAACCAGACAATCTCCACATCAATACTGACAAAGGAACAGCAAAAAATACTGTTTACCAAAAAAGCATAAAGAAATCACATATATTAGAAACCAACACTTTCTCATTACTTTTCCAGATCACCAGACTGGGCCACAGCAATGCGTGGCAAGGGATGGCTAGTAATAATAATAATAATCTTTATTTATACCCCACCACCATCTCCCCAAAGGGCACTCGGGGTGGCTAATATGAGGCCAAGCCCAAAAATAGGTAAAAGGTAAAGGTTTTCCCCTGGCATTAAGTCCAGTCATGTCCAACTCTGGAGTGTGGTGCTCATCTTCATTTCTAAGCCAA